ATATATATATATATATATATATATATATATATATATATATATATGAGTGTTTTTAACAATTTGTTTCCGTCTTTTTTTTTTTACGTCTTAAAACTGCAGCCATTGAGACGTTAGGTGGGTTGCTGTGGTTTATTTGCTTTCCTGCGCTGTCACTCCCTCCTGGGTGGAACAAGACTCTGCTTGGTCAAAAACAAATTTGCCTCAGTAAATGCTGTGTGCTTGCATGCACGTGGTTCTCTCTTCCCTCGCCGTGGGCGTGTATTGTCTGTACGTCTCCCATCCGTACCTGGCCCTCCCAGCGTGTTGCCGCGCTGCTCCTTCCGATTCCCTACATGCACACGCATATGTATGTGCCCCTCCACAACGTTCTCTCACAAACTTCCTCCCTCTCCCGTTCACGGCCACGGTTTTAATTGCTCACGTCGCATCCCTCGTCTTTATCTTTTTTTTCTTTTTTTTTGTTGTTGTTGTTTCACTCTTCTTCTTTTTATTTCCTCCATCCACTCATCAAAAATCAAAGCCCGTGTTCTGTTGGTTCGCTGCGATGTCGCCAAACTCCATCGACGTCTCAAACCCACCATTCGGGGCTCCATCCTCCACGTTAAAATATGTCTCAAGGATTGAAAGAGCCAAGCAGTACACATTATTGTCTGTATAGGACTGTATGCGCTCAATGGAGTCTACACCACCGCATTCCATAATAGCCTCTGCCACCATGTTCCTGTCAGTCAATCCTGACTTGTATTCATCATCACCGAGTTGCAGAAATCCGAGAATGGCCTCCAGTGCGACTGTCAGAATCCTTGGTTCATGGGTCGCCAAGACGTCACACAGGGGCGGAATCACATTGCATTGCAGAAGGTACCGCAGATGGGGGGCAATGCCACAAAGGGTGATGTTGGCGATTGCCCAAACAGCCTCCTTTCTTACATCGAGTTCGTTACTGACGAGACAGTTGGATATCACCACGGGGAATATATCAGACGCAATGAGCGCATCGATCTGCACTGGACTCCCAGCAGCGATGTTGGAAATGGTCCAGCAGGTTTCTTTCCTGATCTCACGCCTTGGGTGCATTAGGAGAGAGCCAAATAATGGCAAAACACCGCAGTTGATAAGAACTTGCGTCTGCGTATCATCTCCGCTCGCAATGTTTCCGACGGTGCGAATACCAGATGTCTGGAGAGGGGTACAAGTAGAGGAAAGAAATTCCACCACGCGAGGAACCACACCTGAGTCTATCACAGCCTGCACACGCTCTTTAGGACCGTCACTTATGTAGGAAATTGCCCATCCAGCGTCCACCACGACCTCCTTTTCTGAATGGTGAATAAGACGGCATAAAACTGGAAGGGCGACTGAAACCTGCTCTAGGGGCGGTGGGGGTTTCCCACGAACCAGGTTAGATAGAGCCCATGTGGCGTTGCGAACCACATTGATTGGTTGCTCGGGATCCACGAGGATATCAATAAGATGCGGTAGGGCATTGCATTGCAGCAACACGTTACGACAGGAAACTCCCTCCCCAGCAATGTTGCCTATGCCCCAAGCTCCTTGATCGCGGCAGTCAGCGTGCTCGGATCTCAAAAGAGCCACAAATCGGGGAACCACACCCGATTCAACAAGAAAATTTGTACTCTTTGAGGTACCTGCAGCAACATTCGTCAGCGCCCAAGCAGCCTCAAACTGCAGTTGTGGAGCTTCAAACCGATCCATGATATTTACAAGGTATGGAATAACACCACTTTGGGTCACCTCATCATGCGGCGGGTTCAACTCCACAGCGAGAAGCTTACGAATCATGAGGACGCCCTGATACACCTCTGAATCCGACTGCCCCTCAACCACCATCCGGACAAATTCGGGTAACAACTCTTTTGGAACATCCTCCGGAGACGTAGAGCTGTTAAACGACCAGGCGGTTACCGGCTCCCCATTTGCAGGGGTTGGAGCCCCCCCAACGGCACTCGTATTGTCTTCGCGAACGTGCTTCATGACTTCCCCATGGGCCTTTTGCCGCACACTGATCATCTGCCGTTGACGCCGCTCTGCCCCTGCCTTCACAGAGGGCGTCTGTTTTGCGCCCTTCGGCTTGTCACTTTGGCCGCTGAACATCCCTTACCTTATTCTCTTTCTTCAGGCCCCAAGCACAGTCAAAAAAAAAAAAAAAAACAGGAATAAAATGGAACAAAAGAATGTAGAACAAACAAAAAAAAAAAAACGAAAGAGAGGGCAGGAAGTGGAAAGAACGTGAGATAGGAAACTGATGCAGCGATACATGCAAAGAGGCAAAATACAAATTTATTGTCCCTCGCCACCACCACGCTGTGCATGTCGTTCCATCTTTGCACGACAACAACGACGCCGTCATCTGTAACAGCTGCAACCAGAAGAAAAGCTGGAAAAGAATAACAACAAACAGGATAATTATTCGCCCCCCCCCCCCCCCGTCATTCACACGGTCTTTCACACAGATGCAGAGTGTGCCTTTTGGAATCATTTATCACGGCCTTGCAAAGTCCTCTGCCAATCCTCCGGCTGTAGTGGATGCTCCTTTGCACAGAAGGTGCAGCGAAAGCTTGTCTCATGCATGAGGTGCAACAACTCCTCCCTCGGGAGCATCATCACAGACCGCAGGAAATCGTGTTTGGAGCAGCGGCAGAAGTAATCAACTCCGTTACGCACCACCGCCGTGGGGTCAAGCCACACTCGAAAGTCATTTACCCCAAGTTTACGTCGTAGCTTTTCAATCGCTGGTGCCGCCAAAGCGGGGTCCTGCGTGTACTGTCGTGCGGCCGTCGCCACTGCGTATGCTCCCTCGTAGTCCCCAGTGAAAAGCGCAATGCTGTCCTGGCATGCAAACCGGTTCTCCACTGCACGGCGATTAAGCTCGCGAAACACATCAGGGGTAGCAATAGAAGCGAATAAAATCGCTTGCTGAAGCCTCTGAATATCCCGCCCCACGGCCTCTGCTGATAGTATCGGTTGAAGAAGGAGACCGTAGGAGAGTCCTGAGTGCTCCAACGCAGCCTCAAGTTTGGCGTCTGCCTCCACAAAATTACTGTCTGCGCTATGCGTGATGGCACATTCCACACAAAACGCAAGAGCCTCTTGAATGGAGGGGGCGTCCAGATTCGCAGAACACCAAAGCGCCGAGGTGGATCCCTCAGATTGACGAAAAAAATTGTAACCATGCAACGATATGTTGTGCCGAAAGTACTCCAACTTCTCACGAGGCATATTTTTCAGACCAAACCGTAACGTTGATATCGCATCAGTGTCATTTAGTCCCCCTTCTTCTTTCTCTTCCTCCTCGACAGGAAACATCATATCTAAACGCGCGGTTGTAATAGAACTGAAGGACTCTCTCTGACCGTATAGAGTCCGCTCAACCTTGAGTGGGAATGGCGGCCCCTCCACACTCTTGTTGTTCTCACCACGTACATAGCAGCGACACTCCCCAAGTGCCAAAGCCTCAGTGATGATGGTAGCTTCGTCCGCCGTGAAGCGCGAGGTGACACGCTCCTCGTCCTCTTGCAGCGCTGCCAGTATGTTGGTAAATGACAAGTGCGTCCCAAGGAGTTCCAAAAATGGGCGATGACCATGTGTGCGTGCTGCCAGCCGATGCCGCCGAAGCGTTTCCCGAAGGATACCCAACGTAGATGCGTACACAAGACGCAGAGTGCCATCCTTCGTGGGCACGCGTAGCGTCATGTCGCGCAGACGCAAACGACGTTCCATCCCCTGCACTGCTGACAAGGCATTGGCAGCGCAGCGTGTGATCCATGTTTGCTGCATCATCTTCTTATAACATTAACAGACTTCTGTACCTCCTCTCACTGCTGCTCAGTGCAGGTTAGAATGAACGATGAGCATAACGAAGAGTACACACAGGCACCCACCTAAAAGGAAGGACACACACACATTATATTATATATACCATTCTCAGGGGTAGTGGTATGAGACAGAAAAAAAGGACCATCCAATCCTACACGCCCCACAGGTATAAAAACAACATCAAAGGACACACTCGCCAAAGTGTGATAAATGGGGGCGCAAAATGTGCCTTCAACCCACTTCACCCATGACACTCCGCCTCATCCTAAGCATCAGCCAGGCTATCCACAGTAACAACAACAAGCAAACACACGCTGACCCGCAAAGTATTTTGCCAAGCTGTGCCATGGCCTCCAACGCCAACAGTATTTGCCCCATCCTGTAAGAAGACGTATTCTCTAGAAGGAAATGGAATAAATCCTTCACATTGCCCAGAAACCATTCTTCTTGCCGCTTTCTTCGTGTAAAGACTCCGCCGGCGGCGCAAAAGAGACCTGCTGCAACCATAAACACTGTGAAGGAGCATGCAATGAAGGGGACAACACCGACATAAACAGGTTGCTTTGCCGGAAAAAAAAACGTGAGAGCCACAAGAAAGAGGAAAGTGGCCACCGCTAAGGAGTACCCTAGGTGATATCCCCGCACTAAATAGATAATGCTAACGCGGTGCAACTCGCAGTCAATAACCTCTGCAAAATGCCCCAGTGTGGGGCTGGCCATCAGTGAATGTTTCGTTTTCGTCAACATTTTCCGTTGCTTGTAGTTCCTTACTCGTTCTCGTGCTATTACCCTTTAAAATTAACTTCCTAGAGTCCGTGTCCTTCAGAAGAGTCCCTACACCCAGTGAAGAGAGAGCAGTGCTACCAGTTTTTTTTTTTTTAGAAAAAAACAATAACAGAAGACAATACCTGGAATACGCGACAGCACACAATAACACAGTCGCCAACGGCTGCTGCACACTGTAAAGGTTCGTGTTTTGCCGTTCACCAGGCATAACTGTTCTCTGCAAAAAAAAAAAAAAGAAGTCAGGTGAAACAGTTCAAAAAGCGTTAACTCCGTCTCCCACCACTGCCCCATGGGAAGAGAAACCTTCTTGTCACACCCCGGTGTGTAACAGGAATCCACTCAACTCCGTCCACCCAATTCGCTGCGCATTGTACTCACCATGCTATTGTACCGCCTCACGTCCGCCATTTCCTGCCGCTTTGCCTCCAACATCCTACCACCCTCTTTGACGCAATAATCCTCGTAGTTCGGGTACATGGGCTTAAGCCGCTTGTACTGCGCGCAGTTGGCCCAACTAATAAAGAGTAAGCATAATGAAAAGTACCATGTGTATGGCTGTGTGCGGCAACTGTGCTTTAAATCAAACGTGCGGAAGTACCGCGCTGCCCGCAATGCAATAGATGGCATGCCGTGCTTTAGTTTACTTGACATGAGGGTAAGCACAAACGCAAATATGTGTATTCCAACGTCCATTGTCAGAAGCAAACAAAAACCAGGGAATAAAAAAACACAGAGAGATAAAAGTACGGGCAGCAATACATATATGTATATATGTATACATATAGAAGGTATGAGAGTGGTAGCCGCATCATGACCGGGGCGTATATACATATATAAGCATAAATATGTACGTATGTATTCCCACCTCACACACACACAGACAGACAGAAAAACAGACAAGCAAGCAAACAAACAAGCATGTGTTTCCATGGGTGCATGAATTCTCTCATTTTTGTATTATTCCGAAAGGCAGAACCGAAACAAACAAGACGGGGGCTCGATAATTGGATTCATTCGCGACAGCATTTTGCATTGTTTTTTTTTTAGATAAAATTAAAGGAACTCCCTCTCTCACCGCTTATTTTCTTCTTCACTTCACATTCATTGCATGCAGCAACGAAGAATCCCTCATTTTGGCGCGAATACGACCATCTCACACTGTAATCATTTCGTCTTTATCTTCTCCCCTCGTGTCGCTCCATGCGCCTTCTGACTCCTCCCACCTTCCCCGCTCACGCCCCCCTCCTTTTTATCAAGTGCAAGAGACGCGCGTTGCCCTCACATAGTGAAAAAGCCCTGAACGTGTTCTTTGTAGTCCGGTGGTGTGCTGTCCAACCAGTCCATCGCGTTCACTGGCATAAGTCCCATCCAGTTCAACTTCACTAGAGCCACTGCAAACGCCACCAGGCAGGACGCAATGTACATCAGCTTGGACTGACTAAGAGCGCTCCGCACGTTTGCATCCTTTTCTGCCTCCTCCTCGAAGGCCTTGAAAACGTCATTCGTGCCAAAGATGCTCTGCAGGGGGTTCACCACCGCCATGCCTACAAACATGATGGTAAAGATGCCAACGTCATTGCCAACCATCCACAGCAGGAAGAGCGTCATTGGCAACGACTTCAAGGGCTGCATGCGGAGGTCACTTAGCTTCCGAAGAGCACGCACACGCTGCATATCACCCTCGCTGAGTTTGGTATTCCCCTTCGCCATCCCTGCACGTCACAAACCTCGCTTATGCTGTCGTTCCTTCGTTCCCTCACCTTTCCCCCACACACCGCAACGGGGCAGACAAACACAATGAAAAGCAAAGAAATTCGGCAATGCACACACGCACAGACACACACAATGAAAGCATGTTGTTTGAAGAATTTCATGACACACACATCTCCAAAGAAAGAAATGTGGACGAGACGTACACATACACACGTACAGAGAAAGAGACCGACTTCAACAACAACACCACTGGACGGGGGAAAGAAGGTACTGCTTACGCACCTCTGCTACTAAGGGGAAACTATCCCCGTTGCTCATACCCGCGCATTCAGCGACTCAACGCACGAGAAAAAGAACAAAGAACGCAAAATGAAAATAAAAAAAAAATCAATCCTTTCTACTAGCTCCTACCCCACCCCCTTCTCCCCCAACCCGTTATCGAACCGTCGCCATACCATTTTGCGTTAACTGCAGATCACGCGGCTGTCATGCCTTCATCCTAACCCCACACCTTCTTCACTTCGTCTAGAACGGTCCAAAGCGCTTGTTTATCCGGCACGTCAGCCAAGTTGCTATCGTAGCGATACTTCTTGGGACCCACTATAAACCAGTGTAACAAAAACTCAATGAAGCCACCAATGTACTGAGCAGTTTTAAAATCCGACACCATTATGGCGTCATCAAGACTATTGCAAAACCTCCAGCGACCGTATTTTCTCACGTTACAGATCTTGTTCGCCCACGACCCAAAGCAGAGAACACACCCCGTGCACATGGCAAGAGAGGCGGCGATTCCATATACGCTATGAAACTCCCGGAGTGCTGACTGTGTCGGAGCCAAGACGAGCGCCGTTACAGACGTCCTGCAACGCGACACGGCGGTTGGACCAAACCGGCAGATCATTGTTGCCCCTATACTCTTCTTAATCCTAGTTTCTTTACTCAAGAACAAATTCCATCTTGCACTTTCTTCGCCCTCTCCAACACCTTTTTTCGTGTGTGCATGCAGTTTCGTTTTATGCGATGCGGCAAGCTCACACGACCACGCAGGCACAAAAGCGCAAAACGAAAAAAAGAAAAAAAACAACCCTTCACTTCTCAGCAAGAATAATACAGTAAATGGAAGATGAGGTCGGTTCTTTCATTTATTCGAACCCGCTGCACAAAGAAACATCTTGTCCCCTTACTTCTCTTTTCTGGTTCCCATCTCTTTCTCGGAGCCGTTTTTCCAACACACTAAACCACATTCCCCCCTTTTTTTTCTTCTGCTGGACCATCAAACATGGCGGCCTCATAGTCCATCGGGTATTGCGACAATTCGTGCGCCATCGGCAGCAACAAGGTCTCGACCACAGACAACTTTGAACGCTGTTGTTTATCCCCAACTGTCGTGTTTCCAAAGTGGTTCTCCCGCCTCTGAACAGCCAGCCGGAGGTCACGGCACACGCGACGCCGCTGATCTGAAGTTAAACCCGGAATAAAAATGCACGCCTTTGCAATCATATACTCCCACACCTCCTCCGCTGTCTTTGAGTTAGCTCCTTCTCCGGATCTGGAGGGTCCAATTGCTCCTTCCGCCACAGACGCCGTGACTTCGTCTCCGTTGCTTGTTCTTGCAGCAAAAACATCAAAATTTGTAATTGTCTGACGCCTCGGGCGAGGGGCACGCGACAAGAAATGCGCTGGAAGCCGTGAAATCGTAGCCATGATTTGCACAAAGTGAAACGAATTCACAAAACGAGCATCTTTTCGCTGCAATGCCGTAAAAAGTCCCCAAACAATACGATCCACACTATCACGCTGTGCCTGCCAGTCAGAATATTCCGAGTTTGTGCGAAATGACGGCGCGTCCCCTCCATTTAAGGTATGCGCAACATCAGTGTCCGGATTAGAAGAGGTGGCCATGTTCCCGCAGTTCAGCTGCCCTTGTTGCCTCACAGTAAAAGAGTGTGGTGGTGCCGAGGGCGAGAGCAAAGGCATGAAAATGCGCAGTAGCTTAAACGCGTGAACGATGGAGGTGAACTTTAATTCTTTGCTGTTGTGGACAAGATGGCGAAAGAGGGACGTCACGAGATACGCTTCATTAGATTGGCACCAGCGTGACTTTTTCACCTCAATAAGGGCACGCGCACTCTCATAAGCATCATCAACTGTTACGATGGTCAAGAACTCCAACGCATGTAAAGCGTCTTCTGCGGAACCTAAAACCCGGCCAGATTCACCCCGCTCAATGAAGAAGAGGTAGAGACGCTCCACACCAAGGGTGGCAACGCTTCGCCTAAAGATTCTTAATTCTGCCGTTGTCGGCACCGCCAACTCTGTGGTAGCCCCATCACCGTTAACGTCAACGTTGATGTTGCCTTGATTCAGCGGTTTAAATTCAGTCTTCCCTTCCAACATTGTCCTCCTCTTTTGTAGCCACGTGAAGTGTGATGCTGCTGGTCCCATAGCTTTTTTTTCCAAATGGTCCAGCTCCCGGGCCATGTAGTGTAGAGCCAACACCATGCTCGTGGAAGCGCAAGTACTCTTTTCGCGCGCTACGCATTGAAGTGCAAGCTGTAGGGAGGAGAAGCATACATGTAAGGCGTCGTCGATAAGCCCAAACCCGGCAAGGAACCCAAAGTCCCTCCCCTGCAGGGAGCAGCAGGCCAAAGCACTATCCACGTTCTCCGACCAGAACACCCTAATGGCCCCTCGAAGACGAAGGCGGTTATTAGCATCACGAGCCTCCCCAATCTCCAGTCTCAAACGACGGCACTCCGCCAAAAAATGACTCAAAGAAGTGGCTCTAAGCGATGTTGATGAACTAAGCATGTTGGCCTCGCTGAGAACGCCTCTGGAAAACTTTACCCGATTACACGCCGCCTCAAGAGCACTGTCCAATGATTGCAAGATATTCTCCTTCTCTGAGGCTGAGGCAGGTGAGGATGATGACGCCAAGAATGATGACGACGTGCTATCACGCGCGTGCACCGGCTTATCCGTGGTTGCCTCCAAGATGGCAATTTTCCTCAGCTCCCGTAGAACATGCACTGATCCACTATGCTTACAGTAGCGCCTCCGTAAAACGTTTCCTGCCCATCTCCAGCAAAACATTAAACAACAAAGGCCTGACACTCCCTTCCTGACGCTTTTACTCTTTTCCCTCTCAACTGTCACCTTCTTCCTTGTCTTCTCTACGTACGTCCACCCACACCCATTAATTAAGGAATAATACCATGAGGTAGAAGGCACCAAAAAATAATAATAAATAAATATGTAGAGAAGACAAAGAGGCAAACTCTCAACCACTGATGAGGGTAACTTCTTCGTTTATACAAAGGGAGAGAAAGGGTGAAATGGGAAGAAACACATCATTCCAGGCACAACAATGAATATGGGTGCGCTCCACCGATGCTCTGTCCCTCTCCTTGGTGCATTCAGAGCACCGAACGCCAGTGAATAATGCCGCCTTTAGAAGAAAGTGCATCCTCTCGTGAGATGCGCAGTTTACTCAGCTCTCCTAACGATAGCTGCGAGACCAAGGATCCGCCCAAGAGAGATAGCATCCACGGAGACTCCTGCAGCGGTAACGGTTGAAGTTGAAGAAGTCCAGCAGCCTCCAAAGAGAAAGATTTAGAAGACTCACTTCTGTCAGTCGTCGAAGATGAAGCCAAAGAAGCAGATGACGACGACAAGGCGCCCACAGTTGCAAACTTAGTGCTGCATTCACGCACTGTCTCTTCAAGGAAGTTGCAAAGTAATGGAGCAACACGTAAGGCTTCCCCTGTCACAATCACAGGTAACGGTGCATCATCTGCGATGGTGGCAATGAGGTGTTTCAACACTCCTTTTTTGCTTTGAAGACTATCGTTCGTTCTTACAACAGCTGATTCAACGTTTTCCTTCGCCTCGTCACGCCTGCGCTTCATCCCTGCGTCACGAAATTCCTGCGATGCCACCACGCGTTGATACACCTCCTCCCCAAAGTAGGAAAAGAGCGCCCCGCGGTACTGTTCATCCAATAAATTCACTGCCGTTGCAGAAGAGAAAGAGCTACCCAACGACGAGCTAAGAAAAAGCGACAATGCGTCACCCTCATCACTTTCTTCTCCATTCACTCCGTCTGCCTTCTGTTTCTCTTCTTCTTTTATGCCTTCAGGACTCTCCGCTTTACTCCCTACACACCCCTGTCCATCACAGCACCCCTCACCCCTTGCGGTGGGGAATTTCAAAAGATGCAACAGTGAACCTGAAACGGATGCCGCGTACTTCACCGTAACGCCAGACTCTACGCGACCAACGGAAAGCGCCCTCAGAGACGCATGAAGGACAAGTGACTCCCGCAGCCCAGCCCCAAAGGTGTCGGCCACGAGATCTGACAGCACTATGATTGTTCTCACCTCCAGCCTCACAAACAAAAACATCACAATTTTTTCTCGGTATTCGGAGGAAACATGCATTGGAAGAACAACGACGATGTTTCGGTCCAACACGTGCTCGCGAAGCCTTGAGACAAGCTGCAGCGCCTTTTTCTGCTTGAGTGAAGCAGCAGATTCGGTTAAAGATAAGGAAAATGTGGGAGCCAACCTCAACACTTCTTCGGGAATGGGACCGTCCTCGAGGAAAGGGCGTATCTCGCCAGAGCGGCACAAGTACGTTGCCAATTCCCCGACTACCAGAACGATCAGTCTTCCATCGGTGTCACTGGCAGCGGTAGTACTCTGCAGAGAGTGAGAATTGACGCCGGTGGAGTTGAGCATTAAGCCACAGTATGTAGTCAAAGCTATGATACGCCCTTCCCTTTCCACGTCCCGTTTTTTTTTTTGAAAATGGCGTTATCCCCTTCCTTTTCTTGTCTGCATGCCAAACAAAAAAGACAACCTCAAAATAGCAACAAGAGCGGAGGAACGCAACAAAAAAAAACGCAAAGGTGGCGACACGCGGGGGATGTTGCTGGTACCAGTACCGTCTGTAAATAATATTGGGTGTCAAATGTATTATACCGTCAATGCTACATTGAGGGAAACCACCTGTGCAGATGTGGTCGCGGGTGGGGTAAGACGTGCTTCTCCCATTCTCTCTCTCAAATAGCTGAGAACAGACGGCTCACTTAGTTACGTAACTTGTCATTCAAAGTAACAACAAGTACGATAATCGTCGAAGTCCACCTCGAGAAAAGAGCTAATATACGAATGTAACAAAACACAGCCACAGGTAATCCCACTCCCCCGCCTAAAGTGTAGTGAGAGCGAGCGGCTGTGCTTCTCCACCCTACCCCATGCATATTGCACACAACAACAACAAAAAAAAACGCGAGTATGGATGGACACATGTATTTACCACCCTTATTCAACCTCACTTTACCTTTTTCGATTCCGCTGCTTCCGTTGCTTCCGTTGCCGCCTTCACTTGGTGTTTCCTTGCTCGTTTCACATCGATATATGAAGTAATGGCGCGAATTACAAAAAATGTGACAGCAAAAACTAAAAAACTATGTTTTTGAAACCACGACCTCTGTTTCGTGTCGGGACGTAATAGCAATGCATTGTCAGGAGCAACATAGCCGTACACCCAAATGCGATCCACCGTAGTTTCTTCTGTGTGGAGCTGCAAAACAAGCGAAAATTCGTGTTCCGAAAAAAAGCGGAAAGTGAAAGTGCCTGATCTCTCTCCCTCCAACGTGACAATCCCCGTCGCTGTTCGTGCCATCGCGGGCACATCACTGAGCGTGGATGGTGACATGCTCGCTGCTTCAGGAACAAACGAAAAAGACGCCGTGGCTGTTGGAGTCGCACCAATTTCTTCCACTTCAGACAGTCGCTGCTCAAGAAGCTGTTCTTCAGCCGGTAAAGACCATGCACTAACTGTCCCAATAGTTGAACCCGAAAACTCCAGTTGAACGTCAATACTTAGCAGAGAAGGGTGCGCATCAAGTGCTCCATGCGGCAGCATCCCCGTCTGCATAGATCGAGGGTATTTAAAGTGTTCAAGGGGCACTTGCCCTGCAGTTGCTTTACGCTGCTCACCAGTAGGAATCAATTCCCCGTGGATATGCTCAGGAAAGTTTGGTGAGTTCTTCAATATAAGTGTTGCATTGAAGACGCCATACCTTCCAGAAATAACGCCAACCTGAAAAGACTGTGCGATCACCCGCTCAAGTAGCGGCATGCCAGATACCTCAGCCGACTCGTAATCCCCTGCCACTACAGGGGCCGCTGAAAAGAGGGATGCAACAGTGCAACAGAGCAACGCAAGACCAGCCCATCGTCCGTAACACATTTGGTAAAACTGGTTAATTGGTTCCTTTTATTATTATTATAAGTGGATTCTGCTGTTTGATCTGCGGCATTCGCATGAGAAAGAGAGCATACATAACAGCAAAGAAACAAGAAAAAATATAAAAGCATGAAGTAGAAGCCACGCAGCTTCCAAAAAAGCAACAACAAAATAAAAAGACAAGAGGTATGCATCGCTCTGGAGGTACGGTAAGCCGGTGCATCGCTCGTGTGGCACGCACCATTATCGCTATCTCTCTTTCTTTCTTCATCCCCCACACCGAAGTACCATATGCATATACTGGAAATAGGAAAAGAGAATAAGAAAAGAATAGAGACTCGAAAGAAACAGAATCAGATCACTAAGAAGAACGCAGGGTCAACAACGGCCCCCCAGCTTCACTGTTCTCCCTCTTCTCCTCACAAAGAAGGGGCCAACACATTGCCCAATCCTCACCAAGATGGCACCCGATACCTCCCTGAAACTCCCCATCAGGTAATCTACACTTCTCGCACGCGTTTCAGCTTTATGTCCTTTCCCACCTCTTCCCTCCAAAGGAAACTGAAAGATCACCGCATGAATTCCCCTGTGCGTTTCCATATCCTCGCTGTTCGTGCGGTACAGGGTAAGCATCCCCCGCACCGCCCGGTGCCCCGCTCTCAACAAAGCAGCGCCAAAGTAGAGAGTGAGAAAAAATATACGCACACAAGGTACTACAACACAAAAAAAAAAAAAACGAGACGAGGTTTTTTACCTGGGTGTGACACAACGGATGAGGCGCCGCGCCTGCTAGAGAGTGTGGGGAAGAGAGGAGCGCAAAATTGGCATGTTGATAATAAACACAAAAACAGCTCAGTGGCCGTAATTCATTTCAGTACCAGAGGCATCGCCGGCAGAAAGGAAAAGTTCCAAAGTGACGGAGGCTGGAGCACGCCTCCATAGCCCCCACCGTCACTTGTAAAGCCAGTAAGGAGAACTCGGAGCGTTTTCGTATGGAAGCTTCCAAGACGGCATCCAGCAACAGCAACCACTAGCAGTAGCAATAAGAGCAATCAACAGGGTCATGTGGATTAGTCATTATGAGCAAAAAGTGGGAGGACATAACAGTGCACAAAGTACATCAAAGAAACAACCAAACATCAGTCTACTTTTCCTGTTCCCCCGCCTCCTCATGTGCTTACTCACCACAAGGAAACGGGGGAAAAAAAGGAAAGACAAAGACAAGGCCAGGGTCAAAAGCTCCCGTCTTGCCACATTTTATTTGGCTCTTGCTGTTATTGTTGTTGTCGTTTTTTTTTTTTTTGTGAATGACAAGCAAAAGGTGAACTCAGGGCAACGCAAGCAGAGACAGAGATCACATATATACGTGTATGCCTGCACAAGTCAGTTGTATAAGCTAACATCGTTTTAAAGTAGATGGCAAAAGAAAAAAAATTAGTACAGCATACAAGGCAAGGCGTTGCAGTAGCAGCGTTAGAAAATAATTTAATCTCAGCAACAAATTAATTCTGTTTGATGCATACAGATACGTGTGTGTATACGCACTCTTTTTTCACATGGTTCAAACCAAATTTTTGCCTTCGTTATTTCTTTTTTTTTTTAATTTTATTTTCCTCTTTTATCCTTTACTCCTCTTCGTCTACTCATTTTTATTGTTGTTTTCTTTCTTTGGGTATTTGTCAAATGCCCCACTGAAAGAGATAAAAAAAAAAAAAAAATACCCGGGTGTTTCTGTGGAAATGGCGCATGCCACATAAAAGCCGCTTTCCTTGATGCAGACTCCAGAAGGACGCCCTTATCATTCAGCAGACACAGACGCACACACACCCGACAATAGGCAACACCCTCCTCCTGGTGGACGGGCACTTCTGTTTCTTCGTCATGTTCTCTCCATTCCGTTTACTGGCTCGTTCGTTTTCTTCTCAGCCTTCTCGTTTTACTTGCTCTCACTTTATCCTTCCCTTTAGAGAGGAATAAGGAGGAAGTATACATATATATTATGTATATTCCGTGTTTCGTGTCACCTTCGCCTCCTTTTCGTCAGCAGTGAGGCCAGATCCTGCTCCACCTTTACACGTCGCCGAATCTCCTCCAGCTGCTCCCGAAATACCTCAATGAAATCCGCATCCAGTCGCTGTCGCTCAATAAAGGGGTTTCGGTGGACGTTTTCAATGATGGACGTGAGCATCTCTACCCCACCCGGGGTTTGCCCTTCGCTCGCAACAAATAGCGTCATTAGGTACGCGTTAAGGGCCGCCTTGGTAAAAAAAAGATACTCCGTCTTTGCACCAAGCAAGACTCGAGTAGCGGCGTAAAGAATGAGAAGCTTCTTGTGTGGATCATCGTTAAAATAATCATGCATGCGTTTAGCCAGGATACCGAACACGTGAGAAGAATTAAGAGGTGTGTAGAGAAAAATTGTGTCGTCAAGCCGCTTCTCAGTTTGCTCATCAACGCACCCGTCAGCGAGGTCACAAATTGCTTGAATAACACTGGGGCTCAGTGCTTTGTCTGCTTCACCGCAGTTGTTGTAGGTGGCGCCAAGAAGAGATTGTAGCCGAGCGTCAAGCGTCATCTCTGGAATGGGACGCTCCCGCGTGAAAAACGTCGGTGGCGGTGGGGCAGCATGTGATCCCACCATCACCCCCATGGCGGGTAGCGACACCATCGTCCCAGCGTCCGTTGCGGAAGCCCCTGGGCCTGCCACAAGCGCTCCGGTGACACCGCTAAGCCCATGGGACGGTGGCGCCATCGCGTTTGCGTCGCTACCCTCATCATGATGACCCAGCGGAGCAGGTTTCCCCTTTCGCATCCTATCTGCCATCGTCATAGAATGGTTACTCTTCCCGAAACTAATACGCAACGGGGCGCCCTTCAAGAGGGCATTGTTCAATGCAACGCGGGCAACATGTGCGTGCTCGATACTATCAAAATGTCCAAAGGCAATACCACTAGACTGAATAAATTTAGAGTTAATAAACCCCTCAAACGGCTCAAATAAATCCTCAATGTCTCCTTCCATTACATCGGAAGCTAACTGTCCAAGGTACACCACATTAGTGGGGGTTTCATTAAGTCGAATACCATCTGAACTCAAACCCGCCTCAGCGGGAGCAGGGTTACGCTGCGCTCGACCATAGTTTAATACCACACGTGCTCCACCAATGGGCTGGTCTCGCATCAAATCCAACGCCTGTGTGCACTCTTCAACGGTTTCAAAATGAATAAACGCCATATTCCTACTATCCAAACGTGAAATGGTTTTAATATTACCAAACATCTTGAAGTTTTCATTTAACTCTTCATTAGAGACTGTCTGTGGCAAATCGCCCAACCACAAAACATTGGTGGGTTCCATTCGTTCCTCGTCACGGCGGGGTCGCCGACGCCGGTCATCATTGTCGTGTCGATCGTCCTCACGTCCACGGCGAGAGGACCTGTGACTGTTGCTTTCTCTGGACATCTCCAATTCCTCCTGCGAGTACTCAAACATTTTACCGTAGTTGAAGCGTGCTCTTCCCAGAGAGCCCCGTGCACTGAGCGCCTCTACGGCGTTCCGAGCTTCCTCAACATAACGGAAGTGCACAAAGCAATAACTCTTATCTGGAACCCTTGCAATACGTATGACCCTTCCAAATTCAGAAAATTCACGCCGCAAGATGTCTTCATTGTGCTCGTGCAAATCCAGGTTCCCCACCCAGACGGTGTTGGTTGGCTCCCGCAATTCGTCCTCTCGTCGGCCTTTGTGAGAGTGTCCGCCGTGATGGTCGCCAACTCCGTGTCCCATATTTCCTCCATACGGTCCCTGGGGGTAGGAGGATGGAGGGTAGCCATGCGGATCAGCACCGGGCGGCATCATCAGGCGGCGATCATCCCTTGCTACATACATCTCATTCGGGTTGCGCACCACACCAGGCGGCATCATGTGCTGCTGGTGGTGGTTCTGAAACCCGTGTTCCACGTCCCCCCGCGGTCCAGAAACCAAATGGGCAGGTGGCTGTGGGTAACGACCTGGGGGCATAGAGTACCCGGCGGGTGGGATCGGCGCCTGCGGCGCGCCACCACCAGGAACACCACCCCCCGTTTGGATTCCGGGCGGCGGTGGTCCCCCTACACGCAGGTGGGGCGGCATGGGGGCCATTCCGGGCGGCATCGGTGGCACAGACGGTGGGGCCATGCCCGGTGGTATTTTGAAACCGGGTGGAAGCGGCGGCATACCCGGTGGGCGTGGGATAAAACCCCCGGGCCTCGGTAGCGGCCCACTCATCCCTGCAGTCCCCTGAGAAGAACACCAACAAGAAAATAATCCTGAGGAAGCTGCATCATTTTGAAAAAGAACCAAAGCAACGAGGAGCATACGCAAAGACAACGCGCATGGGCGTGTGAGAGAGAGTTTTTTTTTCTTTTTTTAAAGAAGAATCACTAGCACCCACAAAGTGTCAAAAGCAATAATAAAAAAATAAAACACCTTATTTCTTAGTTAACAATTTTTTTTTTTCAAGGAGGGAGGGGGGGGGGGGAGGGAATAAAGAAGTGGAGAAAGATTTGCGAAAAGTAAATCATCGTTGTGCCGCTCGTCCATCCTTGTCACAACGCAATCATGCAAGTAGCATGAGGAGACACTAATGCGCCTGAAGGACAATAACAATATAAGGACCATCCACCTTATATATATATTTCCCATCTTCTCTGGTCTCCTTTCATGGGTCCCTCCTGCCGTGTTGCTCGTCTTCTTGGCCCAAAGAAGTTGAGTCACCGTCACTCCTCCTCAAGACAAAAACGGCATCGTGAAGAACAGCGTACTCCACTCTCAAATTACCTTGGCAAAAGTAAGGCAGCTTACACCACCGCTCTATTTTAAAGCCGCTGGGAATAAAGACATTATCCACAAGTCGTTGAAGAGAATCCTCAAAACTGGCGCCACGGCAACATTCGCCTCCCTCCATTTGCAGCGTCTCCAACGGACGCCGCTGCCTGGTTCCATCCTCAACGAAGGGGCACCACGGTAAAACAACCGCAATAAGAACTCTGCCATCAGGCGACAGCGAGTCACGCATAGAGTGAAGCAACTCACACGGCTTATCGGTGCGATCCAACACATTTAAACATGCAATCACATCGTAGCACCGCCGCGATCCATCCTTGTTCTTGAACGGGTCTTGGTATGGAAGCACCTCGTAGCCACGCCACCAGAGACGCCATCGCATGGGAATTGAGTATTCCGTGGCAGTCACGTGGTGGAACAGTGGCTGTAGCCGTGATGTAACGCCGCCATCGCCGGCGCCAATATCCAATAGTGTCCCGAACACCGGTTTCGTTGGAATTTGTTGGCCTTGCTTCGTGCCCAATAGGAGCTGCGCAGCCTGTGCTGTGGAGATGACAAACATTCCACCACGGTTCATTATCCCGTTGGCCGTTGTATGTGAGACAAAACCGCGTAAAATGCCACAGATTAAGAGCTTCGTGACATTCACATCTGCTGCTAGCTTCAGCCACTCTGCTGTCTCCTCATCCATGTGCATGTTCACGTACCGTGACACGATATGCTGTGGCAGACGCACAAGCTGCGGTGCGTAGCTGTAGGCAGGCTTCTTCCTGTCCCCACTCCAGTAGACCGACAGGTCATTCATAATGTTTGTTGATGTCATTTGCCCTTCTTCTTAAGGTCAAACGGAGGCATGCATTTGAGGGGGAACAGCAACAGCTAGACAGAAACAAAAAACAAAAAGAAAGGCGACGCCAATGTCACAGACGCATAGAACAGACACACTCGGAGTGGAAACAACGAAGTGAATGACCGGTATACACAAAGACGCAAAAGCAACAACAACAACAAAAAAAAAAAAGATGCCGCAGCAGCAACTACTGAAGCCATGCGAGAGTAGATGAATAATTTAAACAAAAAAAAGATAAGACACATCCGCACCGCAGTACACACATTGGCAAGGCCACAGGCCTTTGGAGGCGAGATGCAACAAGGCAGATTGAACCAATAATAAAAAAAAAAAAAAAAAAAAACGTAAGACTTAAAGTAGTTAGCCGAAGCGGCCGCGCCCCCACTACCAGCCAAGCAGAAACCAGCTACTAAGGAAATAAACAGAAACAAGAAAAAAGTAATGATAATCTTGATTGCTGCAACAACAAA